ACACAAAATATGAAAAATAAATTATATTTATTATTCTAACCAGAGAAAATTAACAGAGTAGCTATTGTTGTTCCAACCTCTGCCTCAATCTGATTTCGTCTGTTCATAGGAACTATTCGCGGACGGATGTCGCTGCAAATCACTGGGAACGACGAACGCAGAAAAATTCGCTGCAGTAGCCGACGGAGTCGCGGACGTCGCAGCAGTTGCCGATGGCGACGCTGCAAATCATGGACGTAATTTGTAGAAACCGTCTGAAGTGAAGCTGCTCTATGGACCTCTATTTTGCGTCACACAATTCACAAAAAGGCAAATTAAGTTTATAGGATTTAGGCTTAAAAATAAAATAACAAATAACATTTGGTTGGGTCAAACTAAATAAGAAAAATAAGGAGCTCACTTCACTACTGGAAATTATGGAATTTCCGACCACCTGAAAGTGATCTTAAATCAAATCTAAAGTAAAAAGTGGTCGGAAATAGCTATAAAGGTTTTTCCGGACACCAAAAGTGGTCGGAACAAGGCTTTTGACTTGATTTAAGATCATTTTCAGGTGGTCAGAAATTCCATAATTTTCAGCAGTGCTTTAATCTACCTAGCCCAATTCTTATTAATAATGATATTAATATCAATCATTATACCCTGCACCACGGCGCACATAGCACTATGTGCCCTGTGCCTCCCAAAACGACGTTGTTTTGGTAAGTTATGTACGGAGTTGACGTGATTATGTGTATTAGTTTATACAATTATGTGTATTTGTTTATACAATTATGTATATTTGTTTATATATACAATTATGTAAATCCGAAACAGGAAATTTATGTGTATTATGTTAAGAGTTGACGTGTATTATGTTAAAAGTTTATGTATATTATGTATTATGTTAGATTATATGTATATCTTTTTTTATTTTAAAAAAAAGTATGTGTATTTTGTTATACAATTATGTACATTCATGTATACAATTATGTGTATTCTAGTATAAAATTATGTACATTTTTTAACCTGAGATTTATTTTTTTTTTAAAGAAAATTAACCGCCAACATAGAGTAGCGAAATTTTAACAAAAAAAAAAAAAAAACTGAAACGACGTCGTTTTGCATCAGGGCGCACAATGCAATGCGTGCCCTGGTGCAGGATATAAATTGCCAATATACCTAAAGGCCCAAAAAATAACATTTAAACTTAATTATTCAAATAATTATTATATTATTGCAAAATATAAAATAAAACACAAAATGAATTCCTGGTGCAGGATATAAATTGCCAATATTCCTAAAGGCCCAAAAAATAACATTTAAACTTAATTATTCAAATAATTATTATATTATTACAAAATATAAAATAAAACACAAAATAAATATAATGTAAAATAAATAAAACTAATTTATTATAAAAAGTAATCTAAATTAAATATATAAATAGTGCTACACGTATTTCGATTTTGCATATTGGAGTGTAATGTAGACATATAAAAGCCTAGTAGGCATACCGTGTAAGAGGAGATTTTGCATATGGGAGTGTAATGTAGACATATAAAAGCCTAGTAGGCATACCGTGTAAGAGGAAATCTTAAAACGCCCACCGTGGGGCTCGAACCCACGACCACAAGGTTAAGAAGTAAAACTACACACCTAAAGCTTTAGATCGACGCACTTAAGTTTTAATCAACTGGCGCACCTTAATCACACAGTACAAAAACAACTCACCTTAAACACATAAACCACGCACCTTAAATTTGATTTAGATGTAAAAATTATCAAATTGCCACCACGTTTTTTTTTTTTTTTAATTTTGTTAATCATGAATGTTGATTTAGGCAATATCAATGGCTCAGATTTAACCGCACAACCGCACGGGATACACCCAACCATACGGGAACTGAATTATAGAATATACACACACACATACGACCAAAACTAACATCGTATGTATTATTATTATTATTATTATTATTATTATTATTATTATTATTTTAACAAATATGACGACGATTCTAGTATAAAATCGACATCGTATAATTATTTTTAAAAAACATTAAAAACCTTGAATAAAAAAATTAATTATTTATATGATGTCGATTTTTTTTTTTTTTATGAAACCACGTTGTATCCTTTTTAAATTTTTTAAAAAATTCTGTAATTATTAATGATGTCGGTTTTTTTTTTTAATAAAATCAACATTAAAACTTTTTTTTTAATTATATATAATTTTTTAATGGCGGTTTCGGTAATTGGTGTGGTTTTTTTTTTTTTTTGGGTTCAATATTGATCATAGTTGGTGAAAGATTGAGTTGGTCAATCAAGACTATTTAAGTATATCACTATATCCCTCTCACAGTTGCACTTTCTGCTACACGTATTTTGATTTTGTATATTGGAGTGTAATATAGACAAATTGTAGATTTGTAGGCACCGTTTAAGAGGAAATCTAAAAACCGCCCAACGTGGGGCGCGAACCCACGACCACAAGGTTAAGAGCCTTGCGCTCTACCAACTGAGCAAGACGGGCTTATTGAAAATTATTATTTTGTTTATTTTTATTAACATATTATAAATGCCGACGTTAGGCGGTTAGAACGAGGAAAAAGATAATCCGTTATAGATAGGAGAATTGAACCCGACGTGAATCGAACACGCAACCTTCTGATCTGGAGTCAGACGCGCTACCATTGCGCCACGGATCCACTGTTAATAATTGTGAAACTTCTACAGAATATCAGTTTATACCTTATTATTATTTTTTTAAAAAATTTAAATTTAGAATTAGTCCATCTTTTAGTTGGATGATTACAATGCCATATTCATTTTAAATACTCCATCTGTCCCGTGAGGCAGTCTCACACAAGTATTATCCAATGTCATATTATGGTAATTAATCATCTATCATATGATTAAAAGTAAAATTTAGTTTTCAAGTTAGACTTCGTCTTGATCTAAAACGAAGTAGAAATCTTCTTCTATGAACGAGCAAGTAGTTTCATCTTTGAAATATGAGATGAAACAACAAGCTTCATCTCTTATCTTTGTTGCTTCATTTGAGATACTTAGCTTTGTCCAATGTGGGTTCAAAGATGTCAAGGCCAGTCCTGTAGTTTTATAGGCACGGGGCAAATGAAAAAAAAAAATAAAAAAAAATAAAGGCCTCATATGATATTTAGAAGTTAACATAAAATTTTATAACTAAATTTTAAATTTTATATACGAGTACAAAAATATTAATGCCAACTAAATTGAAATAAAATTTAAAAAATTTCAACATTTTACAGATACAATACTAATACAAAACTAATCGACAGAAAACTTATATGTGCTTTCCTAGATGCAAAATCATCAATGACCTCTTCAAAATTAATATTGTCAATCCATTTAATCTTTCTTGTGACATTGAAGACCTTAGGTAGGTTTTCAATCATTTTAAATTTGAGAAACTCATTTGCGCATATGTCACATGTGTATATAGTCAATAGAAGCAAATAAGCAATAGAAACCGTTGGGTAGCAATATGCAACTTTGACAAACTCAAGAATCTTGATTGCTGACATCAACTTGTCTGGCAAAGTCATCTGTAACACTTTTAATTCATAAAAAAAAAATCATTTAAATCTACCTCCGACACATTGTTATGAGAAAAAGGAATTGCAAAATTATTACAACATTCTAGTAATTGATTATTATCTAATGACTTCAAATTTTTTTTTTTTTTGAATCATATAAGAATCCAAAAATATTTTCAGATGTCTTTAATTGCTCTAATCTAGTATTCAATGAAGCAATTGCCATATCCACAACAATTAAATAATAATAATTAACTCTAAAGGATTCCTCGGGTGATTGCATATGTCCAACGTTATATGTTGTTTCTGTAGTAGTGTTGGCTTGAGTAATGAGAAAATATCTTTCCTTTCTTTCATCTTTCCTCGCTGAGCTCTACAACATGGTATTAGAGCCCTCAAAGTAAGAGCTTCCTCTTTCTGCTTCAATGGCTGTTTGGCTCCAATTAATTGCTATAAAACAATAGTAATTCGGGCCCTAAATTACTAGCAATAATAATATATAATCACAATTGCAACACAAGTGTAAAACTCAAATAATATTATATTAAAGATTATGAGAACTAGGTACAAATGTTCATAAATGCTTTTACCCAAAAATCTCTAAAATAAATTAGCCACACATGACTAATATGCAATACATAGAAATAATAAAGAGTTTGCAAATAATCAAAGTAAGTAGAAGAATAAACCAAGTGATTCTCTCAAATCTCCCTAGTTTTTCTTCTTGCTTCTCAAGACAACTTGTAGCTCTCACTGTACAAGAAAAACCGTGATTCACGACGAAAAAATTCCATTGCAAAAACGCAAAATTTCTTTGCGGATCGCGTGTTGCGACGGAATTTTGCATTTTCCCGTCAGAATTCATTCCATAGCTTCCAGACTTGTCGTATTTCATTTCGCGACGAAAATAATCTGTCGCGAGTGGTGGTGACGGAAAATGGCAACGGGATTTTTCGTCGTGAAGTTGGCGACAGAAATCATTCCGTAGCAGTTTTTGCAACAGAAATGTTTTCTTCCGTCGCTATTGCATTAAAAATATTCTATCGCAAAACTCATATTTAGTCGCCTATTGTTGTCATGAAATATAACGACGAAAATAATTGTCGTTGCAGTTTCGTCGCTAACCTTTCCGTTGCAAATTTTTGTATTATATTAATTAGCCAATACAGTGCTGCCGGAAGGAAATTGCCCCAACCATGTGCTTTTGCTAATGAAACAAAATTATGTATTAAGTTAATGAATGTCAACTATGCACATGATATTTTAGCCTTTAATATATATAATATATATAATAATGAGCTATTATATTTTAGCCTCACTTCTTCCATAGGGCATTTCATATATATCAAATGAGCGCCATGTTCCAACAGATCTGTTTGGCGTGGAACAATACAAAATCCTTAGCACCAACAAGCTAAGCTATCTGGTTGTTGTGATAGGCTGAAGAGAGACTACTGGGATTTCTTAATGCTGCTTTAATTTAGGTAATCTTCTTTTTCTTCTTCTTCTTCAGCCGCCATCTGTAAATATTTATTAAAAAAATTAATTAGTTTTTAAAAATTAATTTCCTATTTCCAAGCTCACCCTTATTCATGAACCTCATCTACAATCCCTTTGCTACTCTTTTTTTTTAATGCTACTGGCTCTATTACAATATAGTATCTGTTCATATACTTTCTCAACCTACTGAAACACAAAGAACCAATAACGCCTCCACTGAGGCTTGAACTTACAATCTTCCAAATGGAAGTCCAACCCGGGTACCATTAGACCACATAGTCCTGGCCAATCCCTTGCTACTTAATTTTTCTTAAAGCTAAATTTTGAAACATTAACCAAATTAGTTGTTCCTATTTTGGATCTAGCTGGAGCTGGCTTCGATAAACACAAAACAGAGAGAGAAAAGAAGACAAATTTGAGCGGTAAGATTCCCGCTTAACATTTTAATATGATCGAAGTACTAAAAGCCATTATAATGCTGCCATTATATTTTACAATTAAAAATATAATGCTTCGGTCTTGCAATTATTTCACTTGGAGTCATTATGCAATTTTCAGTTGAAAGCCTTAAGCCTTTTTGGACTGGTGCTTTGAAATATAACACTATTTTTATTTCGATTTTTATTTATTACCAAATATAAAGACTCATTCTATTTAAACGCATTATCATTCATTGAGTATTTGATTCCTATTACCATTACGATTTCAATGTTTGAACCAAACGCACCCTTCATGTATTGTGCTTAAAATTGTTAGAAGCTTCAATCTATGAGGGACTAAAAATGTCACTTTGATTAAATCTGAGAGTTCAAAAATTAACATGCGTATAATTTAGGAACGGAGTCTGTACTTATGGTATAACTCAATAACCAAAAATATAATTTTTCCTACATATAATTATATTTAAGTATTATGACCCCCAAAGTCCAAACTAATATCTAAACCAAAAGAGTTAAATTATTTGTAAGGTTAATTAAAGGAAAAAAAATGCAATTTTAGTCTCTCAATTGTTCTTTGCTAGCGGTTTTAATCCCTAACTTTTTGCCGTTGCAATAATATATATATACACCACTAACGTAACTCTTCAAAAAAGTTGCATTTTTAACTCTTGGAGTGCCAAGCACCTTGTTAATGGCACCTCTATGGCTCCCCTTGAGGGAAGGTCACAGGATCAAACCCTGATGGTGGGGTATTGACTCTTTGAGCTGTAATAGATAGAGAAAGTATAGAACAGATACTACCTTGTAATAGAGTCAACAGTATTAAATTTTTTTTTATTATCTTTGTTCTTTATAACATTTTCAGTTTTGGCATTTCATATGCAAAATAGAGATTTGACAATTTTCTTGCCTAAAATTTTTGTTTTCAGATCAATTGTGTCACATCATTCCTATTTTCTTTACACGATCCCATTAAAATATGCTTTTATTTTACAAATGAAATATTGAGACTAAAGAAAATTATAATAAAAGAAGAAATGACATTAAAAAGTACTAAAATAATTATGTACTAAATATAATGACTTTGCGTACGAAGATGCAGCTCGATAGGAATTAGGCTTTAACCCTTTTAGCTAACCTTAACTGAACCCAATCTCATCCTTCTCGTTCGATCCAATTCCATAGGCCCTAGCTACTTTCTTTCCTTCCTCAACCAAGTGAGTGAAAGGCGTGGCAAGAGAGCAAGTTCGACTCGGCTCTCGCTCTCAAGACTGGCGAACATAGCAAGGAGACTTTTCAATGAGCCCCAGGGTCGTCTAAAATGATAATAGAATTTAATTGTTTTGTTGTTCTAGGGGTTCATCAAACTGCAACTAATTTTTTGAAGAGTTTAGAGTGTATATTACAACGACATGCAAAAAGTTAAGGACTAATAAAACCGCTAGAAAGGAAAAATTAAGAGACTAAAATTGCATAGTTTCTTTAATTAGAATAATAGGACATAATTATTGTGGATCACACTTGTGTGAGACCGTCACACGAATCCTTATTCGTGAGACGGGGTTGGGTCGAGTCGAATTATTGCAAATGTCATACTTATATGCTCAAATGTCATACTAATCAAGAATAAAATTTTTGTTAACTTATAAGGGAAAATGTAATACTTTTGAGGAAAAATGTAATACTTTTGTATTTTGATATAAAAGTATTATATTTTCCACCAAAAGTATTACATTTTCAGTAATAAATAATGTTGGCAAGTGCTCTTCACTTTTAAGAGAAAATATAATACTTTTGAGGAAAAATGTAATACTTTTAAATCGAAATATAAAGTATTACATTTACCCTTATAAATAACTACATTTTTATTCTTGATTAGTATTACATTTGAGCATATAAGTATGACATTTGTGCGTATAAGTATTACATTTTCATATTGACTTGACCCGACCCACGCTCACGGTGAGACGGCCTCACACAAGTTTTTGCTAATTATTATAGGGTACGAATATTTGATATTAAATTATCAAAACTTAAATTTTTGAATATAATTGTGAGGTTCGGATTCTTTTCACAATAAGCCTTCAAAAAAAGAAAAAAAGACTAACCTACTACGGTGCTAATTTTAAAATCATCCAATGGTTTGTTTAGACTTTAGCGTTGTATCACATACATCTTTCATTTCTTTTAAGTACTGCTCTGATCATCTTACCACATAGACAGACGCAAATGGCTTATGCTGCTGTAACTTCGCTTAAAGGAACACTCCATCTACACTTCTTGCAATCACAACCACGCTTCCCTCTTCAATACAAACAACAAATAGTTTCTCTCCACGAAAATCTTGGTTTCATCCAACAAGTTCTTGAGAAATCTGAGATCGCCTATGGCAATGATAATTCGGCGATGAAAGATTTAGAGGCTCAGATGAGAGATGTAGCGTTCAAAGCTGAAGAAAGGATTGAGATGGAGTTGACTACCATTTATCTAGCAAAGGGTTGGACGAAGCGTCTTGCTTGCCTCCTCAGGCTTCATGGAATCTTCATTCAAGCTGTAATACAGACTGATTACCTCAAGAGCAAGTTGATTAAAATTAGTAAAAAGCAGCTTGCAAAGGGTCCATCACAAGGTGTAAGGATGCGACAAAGAGGACTACTCCATGGTTCAACATCATCACAACCTGATCTAGAACGCGAGAATAATATTACTGCGAGTAAATTTTACAAAAATGCTTCAATAAAGTTCAACAATGGAATGGTCGGATGCAACGAGGAGTTCAATACAATAATGGATAAGCTCACCCGGCAATCTGCACAGCCGCTACAAGTTGTATCAATTGTAGGCATGGGAGGAATTGGCAAGACCACTTTAGCTCGGAAACTCTATGAAGATTCATCAATTACTTCTCATTTTGACAAACGAGCATGGGTTACTGTATCTCAACAGTATAACGTGGAACAAATGCTCCAATGCCTTATTGATTGTGTTAATGCAGCATCAAATGACAACTTGGCAGACAGTCTGCGTAAACACTTGTTGGGTCAAAGATATTTGATAGTGATAGATGATATATGGAGCTCTACTGCTTGGGATAGCGTGCAAAGATGCTTTCCAGATGATAATAATGGAAGTCGTATACTATTGACTTCTTGGCACAGGGAGGTGGCTGAATATGCAAGTTCATGTAACTCTATCATTAACATGCCTTTCTTAGATGCCGATAAAAGTTGGAATCTCTTCTGCAATGTGTTTGGTCAAACGAAATTTCTTTCAATGTTTGAGCAAATTGGTAAAGACATAGTGAAGAAATGTAATGGATTACCTCTAGCTATTACTGTAATAGCTAGTCTTCTCTCCAAGACAGAGGTGGCAGTGGAGAAGTGGAATAATGTTGCAAAAAATGTGAGTGGATATGTAATTGGTGATTTTAATGATGCATGTTCCAGAATATTATATTTGAGTTACAACCAATTACCACACCACTTAAAAGCTTGTTTTCTATACTTTGGAGTTTTTCAAGAAGACTATGAGATGCCTGTAAAGAAGTTGGTTAGGTTGTGGGCGGCAGAGGGATTTTTGAGGGCAGAGGAGCATCGAAATATGGAGGAGGTGGCCATGGAATGCTTGCAAGATCTTGTTGATAGAAGTCTTGTTTTTGTTAGCAAACAGAGCTACAATGGGAAAATGAAGACAATAAGAATACATGACTTGTTGCGTGATTTGTGTTTGAGAGAAGCTCGACATGAAAATCTCTTGAATGTTATTATTGGAGATGAAAAATTTCCATTTTTCGAGAAGAAAATCTCTTGTCGTTGGATAAGTGCTGCATCAAGCAGGTTTCATCTACTTCCTTTGACAAAGTGCTTTCACAAATCACATTCCTTTCACTGTCCTTTTTCTTATTTCCATACAAGTTCGGAACGTCTATTTTCACGCTTCAAACTACTAAGAGTAGTAGACATAGCATGTCTACTTTGCTTTGGATATAAGCTACCAAATGAGCTTGCAAATCTTATTCATTTGAGATACTTAGCTTTGAGGTATTCAACAATGAATCCCCCCAAATATATTTATTTTGAGCTCTTTGAGAATTGGAATTTGCAAAGCTTTATTGTTTATAACCATGAAGAGACAGACAATTTCTTTGAGGCATCTGGAAGTTTGAAAATGCCACTATTAAGTAATTTATACATTGAATTGATTATTTCATTAGGAACTTTGCCAGTTGTTCATAGAAACTTAGAGAGATTATCTTGGTTGGACCCTAAGCTGTGTACAGAGGATCTGTTTACAAGGATTCCAAATTAAAAAAAATTGGAGATTAAGGGTAGATACGAGGAAGACAATTTAGATTGTTTTTATAATTTTGTGCACTTGGGGCAGCTTGAGAAGCTAAGCATCAGAATGTGGCATATTAATCTCAACCGTATTCCATGTAGCGGCATCTCATGGGCAACTAGTTTTCTACCAAATCTTAAGAAGCTCAAATTCTTCAAGACTAGTTTGGTATGGAGTGATATGAGGCTTATTGGTATGTTGCCCGAATCTAGAGGTTCTAAAACTGAAAGATGCTATTGATAGGAAAGACAGAATGTGGGAGCCATCTGAGGAAGGGTTCCGTCAATTGAAAAGATTGGTAATTGAAAATGAATATTTGGAACGTTGGAATGCCGTGGGTGACAATTTCCCTAGGCTAGAATGCTTAGAGTTACGTACATGCGACCATTTGCTAGAGATCCCTAGTGGTTTTGCCGATATCATCACACTAGCACTGATTCAGTTAAACTGCTGTTGGGATTCCGTTCTGACTTCCGCAAAGTTGATTCAAGAAGAGCAATACAGCAACTATGGAAAAGCCCTCCTTGTTCGTTCGGAAAATATTATGGTCTCTTTCTATCCCTCTAATATATGAGTGATCATTTAACATGCACTTACTTCATGCTACTTGATTAATTCTTCATCGCCATCATATATATCTGAACTGATCTGTTTCCTCTCACTTCTATCTCATATTTCCTTACCTATCTAACTGCTGTGTATTCACCTTTTCTTTTTTACTTAACTTATCGATTGCAGACGAAGCCTGTAAACAACAAAGAGGAACAATGGGATGGGGAGGAAGAGAGTGATCTTTTGCAGGATTAGGCAGGTATTTGGCAGAATATATACTCTGTTGCAAATCACACTATTATAAATTTTAGTAAACTGCAATGGTTTCTACCTCTCAGAAGAATACTCTGCTGTCAATGTTTTTTCAATTATACCATGTGATGCTCTTTTTGGTTGCAGCAGTTTACTAACCATTTTTGCGTAACAGAGTGGTGAAGAGAGAGCAAATGGAGCAACTGTACTATTATCCATCAACGCAACAAGAATGATTAATTAAAAGAGAAAATTTCAATTTTGGTTCTATAACTATGGGGTCTTATTAATTGCAGTTCACGAGTTTTAAAACTGTCAATTTAGTTCCTTAATTATTCAATTTTTCTCCATTTCAGTGACACCGATCAAATTGCCTAGGGGAATTTTTAGCGAAGAGATCCGCAGGGGACAATGAGAAATATCATCAAAGGAAAATAAGTATAGAGAGAGCATAAGATCTGTTCCATTTGATTTATTAGCCTTGTGGGCCTTTCTAATGTGAAAAACGACCATTAATTAGATTGAAGAAAGTCACCACCGGCCTTCGCCTCTGGATTTCAGTCAATTCAACCTTAGTCAAAATTTGTGTTGAATAAAGTTACAGTGAGTACGTCATAAAATGTTTTTGATCGAAGAAGTTTAAGCTTGAAGATTTACTGACACGTGGTGCGATATTGCAATTAAGGCAAAGGAAACCCAAAAAGTGGAGTTAATTAAATTGGTTCTCGATATGAGTATTAAGCTAAAAACTAACTTAAGAAAGAAGAAGTGAATTCCTGATTCAAGATGAGAATAAGGGAGAAGATGGATGAAGATGAAGAAGGAAGAAGAAGATAGAAAGACCAAAATGCCCTTTTGATTAAATTTAATGTGACCAATTAAAATTTTTCTGTGAGTTTTAACGGAAAAATTGGCCATAGTGATTGAAATTGAGAAAAAATGAATAATTAAGGTACTAAATTTATAGTTTTAAAATTCATAAACTGCAATTAACAAGATCCTAATAGTCATAGGACTTAAAGTGAAATTTTCTCTTAATTAAAATTTACACAACTTCATTAAATTTTCTTAAATTTTTTAGCAAAAAAAAAAAATGTAATTTTTGTATTCTACATTGGTATTACGTAGTAAGAGGCTAAGAGCTAAGAGGCCTAAACAAGTCAAGTATTAGTACAAATTACAAAGTTTTAGAACATCCTAGATAATCCATAACACAAAATCATTACAAAGTTGAAAAACTACAAATGTCAAAATCAAATAGAAATGTATTATTATTATTATTATTATTATTATTATTATTATTATTATTATTATTATTATTATTATTATTATTATTTTTTAGAGGAGGGCCTCTAAATTCCTAATCCACCTCGAGAGCTTTCTATATATAAATACGAAGTAAAATGTGAATAAAATATTATTCAATGAATTTAGTGAAAAAGGTAGTGACTTAATCACTTTATCATTTTTCATCAAAGAAAACATTAATGTGAATACCTGTTTTTTCACAAATTTGTCCAACCAATGCAATCTTCACATTTTTTTTTACCACAACGCAATCAGAGGCTATGATTCTATGCTGGTTATTTAGCACTTATTTAAACAATCGACACTCGATATGCATAAATTCACCATAAGAAGTTTCTGAACAAGATAATGGATGTTCTCTAGCTTTGGTTATGAAGGAATGATGCTGATGGAGAATGTGTAATAAACAAGCTGAAGCTAAAGATGAAACAAGGCTGAAGCTGAAGAAGGGATAACAGAAATAACTGCCAAGGGCTTTTTGGTCTTTTCGCATTCTTTCATTCTGTTATAACTGCTTTCTTCCCTTATAAAAGGAGCAGTCCTTCTTTCTTTCTGGTGTAACAACGACAGTACAATTCAGTGCTTCTTTTCCTCTCCATGTGTTCAATGCTCAACTTCACATTTCACCATCTCATCTCTTGATTTTGACATGGTATCAGATCGGCCCCATAGCTACGCCGCCGCCGTGATCATGGATCGAGAGGCAAATGCAGCAAACCCTGCCGGAAACACAGCAGGGACTTCAACTCCGGTTAGGCAAGTTCCAGTGAACCAAAGTCCGGTGCACAGAGTAGACGAGCTGGATGATCCAATGTACCTCCATGCAACTGAGAATCCTAACACGATTCTTGTCTCTCCTCCTTTGTCTGAACAGAACTATGCGACTTGGAGCAGGTCTATGAAGATCGCTTTAGGCGTGAAGAATAAATTTGGCTTTGTAGATGGATCGATTGTCTGTCCAGCTCACACGGATCCTAGGTATAGCTCTTGGAAGAGATGTAATGACATCGTATGTGCATGGATCCTTCGATCTCTCAATCCGTCCATTGCTGAAAGTATGCTATACTTTGAGATAGCAGAAGGAATCTGGAATGCCTTGAAGAAGAGGTACTCCTAGGCAGATCCTCACAAAATCGCTGAGATCCAGAATGAAATCTACAAGAATATGCAAGGTAATTCCTCAGTTAATGAGTACTTTATTAAATGTAATGCACTATGGGAACAACTGAAAGCTGTGAGACCTTTGCCTGTCTGTGAATGCTTACCTAGATGCAATTGCACTATTATGAGCAAAATTAAGAAGGATAAGGAGGATGATCAAGTGATCAGGTTCTTAGAAGGCTTAAGTGATGAATTTGAAGCCATAAAAGCTGGTGTTCTGGTGATGGAACCTCTTCCAAATATGGAAAATGTCCTAAATATGGCCTTAAAGTTAGAAAGGAAAATCAATAGTTCAAGTAGCTATAAGAACTCAGAGATTGTCCAGTCCAATGCTGTTCAAAATTAGACAGCAGATGAGCAGAATGTTGTAGCTATGGTTAATTCAAATAACAAGAAGAAGTTCAGTGGTTTTGGAGGAAAGAGTGTAGCCAAGTGTACATATTGTGGAATGAATGGGCACACTGTGGATAAATGCTTTAAGAAGCATGGATATCCTCATGGATGGATACCTGGTTTCAAATCAAGGGGTAAACAGAATCATGATAGCCAGAACAATCAAAACTTCTCTGTCAACCCAGTCAGTGATATTGGAATGACAGCTGATCAATTTCAGAGGCTGGTTTCCCTTCTGCAAGGGCAAACTCAAGGGAGTCAGACCAATCCAGCTTCTACCAGTGCTGCTATCACAGTGAGCAAGGCTGGAATGAAGCCAGATTTCATCACCATGCCTAATAACTCTGAGGAAGGCAGGTTTATCTCTAAACCCCATATTAATTCTGTTTTGAATTGCTCAGATATGTGGATCTTGGATTCAGGAGCAACTGATCATATCACATGCTCTTTGGAATACCTTGAGAACTGCCATAAAACTCTTGACATATTTGTTAAGTTACCAAATGGAGAAGATGTACAAGTCACACATGTGGGGGAAGTCAAGTTATTCCCCAACTTGTTGCTGAAAAATGTTCTCTGCATTCCCTCTTTCACTTTCAACATAATTTCTGCCACCAAGTTGACAAAACAAAATGATTGCACTCTTGTCATGAATGCTAATACTTGTGATATTCAGGGACTACATGGGATAGTGGATGGTTTTGCTAGGACCAAAGGAGGACTTTACTTGCTTGAACACCCTCCTGCCAGGAGAAGACAGCATGATAACTCTGAAAAATACTGTAATATCCTTACCTTGCAAATGTGGCATAATAGGTTGGGACATTACCCCATCAATAAAATTCAGAACCTTAGTGGTGTTGAACTTGTGCAATCTCATAAATACACTGATTTTGTTTGTGATATATGTCATCTTGCCAAGCAAAAGAGATCAGTTTTCCCTGCTAGTAATACAAGAGCTGAAAAATGCTTTGATTTGATTCACTTAGATGTATGGGGGCCTTTTGCTGCTGCCTCTTTCAAAAGAGAGCATTATTTCCTAACCATTGTTGATGACCACAGCAGGTTCACTTGGATACATTTGATGAAAAACAAGTCAGAGGTCAAGGGCCTATTCCAGAATTCCTGTTCCTATGTTGATACTCAATTCTCAGTAAAAATCAAAACAGTGAGGTCTGATAATGGGACTGAATTTTCCATGGATTCTTTCTTTAATGAGAAGGGAATTGTACACCAGAAATCATGTGTTTACACACCACAACAAAATGGCACTGCAGAAAGAAAACACCAACACATCTTGAATGTTGCAAGGGCTCTCAAGTTTCAGTCAGGTGTTCCTTTGGGTTTCTGGGGGCATTGTGTCCTCCATGCTTCTTACCTGATCAACAGATTACCCACACAAGTGAATGATGGGAAAACTCCTTATGAGCTTCTATACAGTAAAGCTGTGAATTATAGTCATTTAAGAAGCTTTGGCTGCTTGTGTTTTGGTAGCACCATTCCCCAAGGAAGACATAAGATGATGCCAAGAGCAAGGAAGTGTATATTTCTGGGATTCCCAGCCAATGTAAAAGGTTATGTTCTATATGATATTTCTGACAAATGTACATTCATTTCCAGAGATGTTGCCTTTTATGAGAATGTGTATCCCTTCAAGGATAGGGTATCAGAAAGCTTCCATAATCAGGGGTTAAATCCAGCTTTACCCTTGATCCCTATTGATGCAGATGTTGACTCAATTGCCACACATAGCCTCCCTTTCACACATCCAACAGATGTTGAGCAAGATTCCATGTATGTAGAAGATTTACAACATACTGGATCCAGAGTTAGTCCTGAGCTACCTAATACAGACAGGTCCACAACAGATCATGTTGATAGTTCTGGGGATGGAACAGAAGTATACCCTCAGAGGGAAAGTTCCAATCAGCCAGAGCCCAGGAGATCAGGAAGGGTAAGGAACATCCCTGCAAGACTTCAAGATTACTATTGTCAGTCCCTGACTCAGGTCAGTTCACAAAAAAGAACTTCTCCACACAATCTAAACAATGTCATCTCATATGATGACCTGCCCCTAAGCCACAGATTATGTGCATCATCCATCCTAACTGCAAATGAACCACACTCTTATAATGAAGCAGTTAAAGATGAATCATGGAGGAAAGCTATGCAGACTGAGATAGAGACCTTAGTTGC